TTTTCATTTATGTTGCTAAGGTCACTACAGTTAATCGTATTTTCACATTCTTCATTAAATTTTTTTGCAAAATATCTCATCCACCTTTATTGAATATCATCTTCTAAGAAAAGTACTTTTTTATCTTCATCCTTAATGCACTTCACTTGAACTAAATTCTTACTACTCCTATCTTTATGTTTGGCTAAGTTATACATATATCTTTCTCCATCCTTAGTATGTAATTTATTATATAAATCACTAAAAGCTAAGGTTTTTGTATCGCAAATTGTTTTCTTAGATTCCTTACGTGCCTCTTTATATCTTTCCCAATTATCATAGTTTTTACAATTAAACTAATTTTTATAACAAATTTTCTTATTTTTAATCTTATCTTGTGCATTTGGATTCCACCACCAACTATTTTTATTATTAAGAGCTTTTCCTTTTGAAACTTCAAGCACATTTTTTGCAATATTCTTAATATCACTAGTAACTTTTTCCCACATAACATTAGCATCATCATGCACAGACAACAAGAGATAAACAACCAAAGCTATAAAAAAAGGAGTAGAAATGGAAGAATCATGCAGCTTGAGTGAGGAAGGAGACTACGAATCTGCAGATGAAAAGAAGCCAGTTCAAAGGTCCCATAGAACCTGAGCTGTTGAGGTTCGTAATCTTTCAGAAAGGAAAAGAAGATACAAAATCAATGACAAGATGAAAGCATTATAGGACCTCATACCACATTGCACCAAGGTAAATGACTCGTTGCATGCATTGAACACATGTATTGTTCGCGCAAACATAATGCTTGCACAAACATGAAAACTCATTCATGGGGGCAAAATGAATGCAATGTATGTCATTCATAAATGAAATGCAGAAGATGGATGGCAAGAAGATAGATAAAAAAATGCAGCATCTTGTGGACAATATTAATATACAATCAATCATATGAAATATTATTGTCAATGCCAGTTAACTCGCAAGCAAGAACATAAACCTACTACTTACATGACGGTTCACTTTCAAGCAACTACTAGAAGACTTGTGAATGATTGTAGATGACAGGGAAGATTAATTAACCTGTAGCATTCGAGCAATTGTGGGCAAAGTCTTAAACAGCAGGAGAGTTGCCATGTATACAACATCTAGCCTACAAGTAGAAGAGATGTTTGCAATGACTACAAGGGATATGCAACGGATATTAAAATATCCCTTTAAATGGTGGTGATTAATTAGTAAGTGAAGATCACAGTTCCTTACAAACATTAAGAGTCAATGTATAAAAGACATAATAGCCCACTGACCAGTTTGCATGAGAAGGTTAATGATGAATGCAAGCACTTACAAGCTATGTAGCAAGAGCTGATGAATATTGAAATGCTCTTGTAGTCAACCATCATTCAACATCAAGTAAATGCATTGATCCTTCTATGGGTAAAAGTATATTATTTGTGGCAAATAAAAATGCCTACTGGCCCTTGCAGAAGACCCGTTTTACATGCTAATTGTCACCCCATGATAGTGTCAAAGAATCATATCAAATGCAAATGCCTACGAGCTATTGCAAATGTATGCAGAAATACAACAGATGTAAACTCCTATGGGTTGCCAAAGAAGATTCGTCAAATATCCAAAAATGCCTGCGCATATGCACTGTAATGTGTATGCACATAGGTATACAGAAAGGGATGTATAATACACCTGCATGGGCCTCGACGAGCGTGTTATGAGTACACACGTTACGTTCAGGGATGCTGCGCGAGTCAATAAATGAACCACACTTCGAGACCGATCCTTCTATATGGATAGATAGGAGTCAACACGGCTCGAATTATCAAATAGATATATGATCAATGTGTCGACCAGAATATCTATTTTATACATTCATATAAGACCTTCAAGGTCTATGACAAAAGAAATTTATCAACAAAAACATGAAGCTTATGGTCCCGATCCTCTGTTGACTTATAGATAGAGTCGACAAGGTTCAATCAATGAAATTCTCAAATGCCCATAAATACTCCCATGATGGTCGTGTTGAATGTAGATCTCAATCAGAGGGGTTAACTCCAAATATTTCAAATACCTCTAAGTTCCCAAATACCCATTCAAAATAAAAAAAAAATCATCAAAATCCAAATATTTAAAAATTGAAATTAAATCATTAAACACTTAAAGTAAAAATCATCTACCCTCTGTAATAGTTTGCCGAAGTGAACAAATTGAAAACTACTTCAGCTCACAAAGAGCTAATGTCTAGTTGAGAATAAACTAGGATTCATTATCAAATTATCTCCTGCTAGTAAGGATGTGACACATGTCCTTTAACCGACGGTTTTGCCAAACCTATTCCAGCTGCTTGATTCTCCCTACCTCATACGAAGACTCCTGCTTCTTTGGTTCATTCCGCTTCGGAGAAGCTAAATCCTCCACCTCGCCTCAATCTCCAACCAAAGCCTAGACCCAAGGCTTCCTCCTTTGCTCCATGTCTATTGAAAAGTCGCCCCTGACCTCCTCATACAACCTCCGACTAACTCTATTTCCTCCAGCTCCTCTTTGCAGCCGAACCCGAAGCCCAACCTTATCTCAGTCGAACCTCCACTGCCGCTCCTCTAGCCCTAACCGACCATTTGCTTGTATACATCCGACCCAAGCTCTCTCCTCTCTGCTGCAAGCAAGATCCAAATGACCTCCTTTCCTCCCTCTCTACCTAGGCCGACCGACACCCATAGTCGAACCAGAGCCGAAGCCAACCTCCTCCTGCCTGATACTCTGCCTCTACCTGATCCCTTTAGTTAGGTATACATTTTACCTTTTTGTTTTATTATTACTAATTATTATTGTTATAAGATTATATACATGGATATTTTGGTTATTTTATTTTTAAATTTTTTTATATTGGATATTTGGGTTTTTATTTTTATTTTTTTTAGTCCTAGTCCTTGAGCATGATATATTGGATATTTTGCTTGGTGAAGTACATGGTTAAAATTAGGCTTTTAAAATAGCTTCTATATGTCATTTGATTATCTTTGTATTTCTCATATACTTGAGGAATTGATGAAATTTTAGCTCCATTCAATTCTTCTATTGTACATTACAATCAACAACCTAATCTTTAATTTAAAGATTATAAAAAATGATAGATTCAAATTAAAGGAAAATACTTATTCTCTTTCTATGATGATAATATGTAGAGAAAGAGGTCAAAATGATCACTGGACTATTTGTCCCAAACATCTAAAATTTAATCTTTTTTCCCCGTTGATTATAGTCCAAGATAGTCATTTTGATTATTGTGAAACAGATTTGAGGAGTTAAAGAATCAAATTATGCAAATTTAAATAATTTGAAACTAAGAGGACCTCTCGTAAATAGCTTAGGGATCATTTTGACTTTTTCTATAACTATTATTTGTGTTCAAACACAAGGTGGTTTGACCAGGTATTTTTCTATTTCGGTTGGTTTACATCAAGGATTAGCCTTAAGTCCATATCTTTTTTGCTTTAGTTATGGATGTTCTCACTAGATATTTGCAAGAGGATGTACCTTGGTATATGCTTTTTGCTGATGATATTCTTCTTGTTGATAAGACTAGAGAGGGAGTTGAAGGTAAACTCGAATTATGGTGGTCAACTTTATAGTCTAAAGGTTTTCGCTTGAGTAGATCTAAAACTGAATATATTGAGTATAATTTTAGTAGTAATAGACCTAGTGAGGGGATTGTGACTTTGGGCGATCAAGTCATTAATAAGAGTACACATTTTAGATATCTTGGATCTATTATTCAGAGTGACGGTGAAATTGATGGGGATATGTAGAGGTAGACCTAAAAAGACTTGGTTAGAAAATATTAGAAATGGTCTTTTTTTATTAGATTTAAATGAGAATTTGACTTTAAATCGGACACAATGGCGAAAAAGGATTCATGTAGCCGACCCCACGTAGTGGGACAAAGACTTGATGTTGTTGTTGTCTATATATATATATATATATAGTTCTTAGGATTTAACAAGCATTTTCACATTATTAGATTTTTTTCAAAGAAATTCTAAAATGAAAATTAAGATTATTGACATGACATGCACTACTGAAAGTTAGAAAAAATTATGATTATATTCTTATCCTTACAACATAAAAAAAAAAAAAAAACTTAAAATGTATGATGTTAACAACTCTTATTTATGGAATGCATTTTCAAAATAAAAAATCAATCTTCTGCATTCAAACTTGATTATTCATCAAAATTATTTTATCTAGAGTAAATATGATGTATAAAAATAAGTAATGTTTTAGCATGACATCTAAATCATTCGTTTATACAAAACATTGAAAGCACTAAATTATCCAAAGATTGTAGAATCTTATAAAATTTGATCCCTTACTAATTGGAAAGGTACAGTTGGAATTAAATGTTCAATATTTTTTTTAATACAATATGTTGGGAATGAAAATTGATAGGAACAAAAAATTCCATTCATTTGATCATAGGCACAGCCTAATTCTATCTTTTTGTGTGAGAATAAATTAAGTTATTATAAGCTTTGAATCAAGCAATCCTTCTGTGCTACAAGGACAAGGATGCATACCTCAAGACCTTTCCAGAGTCTTGGTTGTATTATCTTAGCGATCTTCTCATCATGCTTGATTCACCTCTAGGCATGGATTGTTGCTTTAATTTTACAACTTTTAAATTTTTAATCTTCATGGTTCTGGCTCAATTTTAATTGCTCCTTGATATTTGTTCAATTCACTTCAGGGGCCTTACACAACAACTTTGCATGCTGAGTTATGCAAGAACACCATCAAAGCCTTATGCAATGCAGATGTTTCTGAGGGAATTTTTGTTAGGGGGAAAGATATATCCCTTCCTGAAACAACCATCAGACTACCAAGACGGCCTCTGAGACAAGTGGGCGGGCGACCGGTTTCCCAGCGGCCTATCCTCGCCTTTTTTGCCGGCAACATGCATGGCCGGGTCCGACCGATCCTACTTGAACACTGGGGAAATGGCAAGGATGAAGATATGAAAATTTTTGGTCCTCTTCCAAACCAAATCTCTAAAAAAATTTCTTACATTGAGCACATGAAATCAAGCAAGTTCTGTATTTGTCCCATGGGATTTGAGGTGAACAGTCCAAGGATAGTGGAAGCCTTTTATTATGAGTGCGTCCCTGTAATCATCGCTGACAATTTTGTGCTTCCTTTTGAAGAAGTTTTAGATTGGAGTGCGTTTTCTGTTGTGGTTGCGGAGAAAGATATTCCGAATCTGAAGGATATATTGTTGAGGATTCCTCTCAGGAAGTACATCAGAATGCAACAGTGCGTGAAGAGGCTGCAGAGGCACTTTCTTTGGCATCCAAGACCAGAAAAATATGATCTGTTTCACATGATCTTGCATTCAATTTGGTTTAGTAGGCTAAATCATATGAACCCCTCATAATGGCCATTAGTCAGGTATAGTCAGGTATAGTCAGGGATATGGATGTGAAATACATCTGGGATTATTATTTAAGCAGGTTCAAGTTGATCCCATTTTTTTAGGATATTGAGATTTATTTTTCGTTTGGGATGACTTTCTTACTGCTGCTTAAAAAAGTTTTCTAGTATAAAATTTTTAATTTTTATACTAAAAAACTGTTTTAAGAATCAATAAGAAAGCTGTCCCAAATGAAGTTTTAATTTGGGACGGCTTTCTTATTATTTTTTAAAGCTGTTTTTAGTATAAAAATTGAAAATTTTGTATTAAAAAATTGCTTTAAGAAGCAGTAAAAAAATGGTTCCAAACAAAGCTTGAATGTACCATCATAAAAGAACTCTAACCTGACTTGCCATTTTGCTCTTTGTTTTCTTCTTTCAGGTGGCTAATGTGTCTTTCATATTTCATCATTGCTCAAATTCATTAACATGTGGCACCCGCACAAGAAGAAAGAGATGCGAGGTCTGGAAATGCATCATTATATTCCAATTCTTTGTTTCTATATTTCTTTCAGGTTTTTGTTGCTAGCTGTTATTGCAGAAGCTATATATTAAATAAATTAAACTGTTTGTTGTTGCTTTCCTGCATAATAGATAAAGTTTTAGGATTTTTGGATAAACCACAAGAAAAAATCATGAAAGTTGAAAAATAGCTTTTTATTTTTATTTTTATGAATGATAGTTTAGTTACCTTATTATCTAATTAATTTTATTTATATATAATTAAGATTATAATATTATAATATAATTATGTAAAATTGATACTAATATTTTTTTTATCAAG